TATGACATAAAAATCAGTCATCCAAAGCAAATCCCCAACAAAATGCTGCACAATGTGTTTGTTCTTAATGTTTCTGCCCCCAGTGTATTTTGTGGTTCCCTCTCTACATGCAGTGCATCCATCAAGTGAAAGTAAACCACAAAGTGGCCCTGCTGTGAAAAGCAGGGTTACATCTTCATCACTTTATGGCTTCCGGTACATTTTCCTCATTTAAAGGACCTACTTTTTAACATGGCATCCTGGTCGGTTGCAGCGTATTAATGTCTTTGATGCTTCTGCTGGCTTTCACATCAAACACTTTCATATATTGTTCACAACGAAACACAACAAATCTCACTCACTTTGGTTTTTAACGTTATTCTATCAATTTAAGTTTTATTTATATCTACAATGGAGGCATAGACATGAAGGGAGGAAATGTGCAAGTACATTTAAACCCTTAGACAGTTCTACCCGGGACAGCCGCTAAATAAAGATACCAGATCTAACAAAGAGCGGCTTTTCATCTATTTAAATCATTCATTGATTATCTTAGTCCATACAGCTCCATCTAATTGATTTAAGGTTAATGTTGTGTTCTCAACCTATTTACAACCATGGAGGTTCATAAAAGTGGAAGAAGTCTGGGAAAGGTCTTTGGGAGTTTTTTCCCTATCTCAAGAATATAGCTTTTATATAAAACCAATTGAGGAAAAGGCAGACAAAACACCGGAGGGGAAATGAAGTCCAATAAATGAAAAGGCTTGTCTGCCATTATGACACACTTCAAATAAGCCTCTACTATAGAGACCAGGATATTTATTCTTTAAAAAGGACAGTCCGTGCGTGAAGAATCCACGGGGAGATAACATGATTATGTAATTGAATCTTTTATGCAATTTAGAACAAAGATGGTCTCGATATAGCCCTTGTGGCGGCTGCTATTTTGCAAAGTGTGTTTAATAGGAAAATAATCTCATCTGTGAACTATTCATCTTTCATTACCATTTCTGGCTTCATATCAGTGGTGCACTAACAAGTCTCCTCACTACTGTACTGTATGTCTCCAGCCATGATCATTATGACAGTTAATTTGCTTCAATGGTTATATAATCTAAGTAACTTTGCAAATAAATGCGGCATCAGGTCAATGTATTTAAACAATCTACCATATCTACCATAATTTTCATCGTATAATAGTCTAATCTTTTTGTGTTGACTATCTAGATCTTTTGATCTATTATTATAACAAGGTCTGTTTTCTAGTCCTGTCTGCTCTTGTTGCTTTGGGTTAACACATGTCTCTGTTTGTGTTGAGCCTCTAAACTGCGCCTTCCATCCCCATCCTTTCATTCTCATCTATCCTCTCTAACACGGGCAGATATATACGACCCTGTCAGGTAGAATGACTCAGAGCCACAGCTTCACTGAATAAGTAATTGAGTAATGAGAACGGCTGATGGCCTGTCATGAAAAGACAAAATATCTCAAATGAAGAGAATGGAAACAGACCTTAAGCGTCTCATTGTAAGGCATAGCTTGGATTGTTTGAAGTGGGGTTGTATAAGGTATCCATCGTCCCGGTATTAGTAGATTGTGGTTGGCACACCCCTAGTTTGGATAAATATATTTTCTTTTACCTAAAAGACAAATCGGTCCAAAGAAATCAATATCAGTATGTGTAAGCCACATTTAGAATATGTTCACCCCTTAACCTTGCCCACAGGGAACTCAAGACGGTCAATACCTAACTGTCTAGACAGTAATGGAAAGGAAACACATGTAGAGTGTTATTTGCCTTTTTTTACACATGGGGATAAAAAAATGCCACAATAGTACTTTTTTAAAAGGGTTTGTGTGTGCATGCAATCCATGTGCACATGCATAAATGAGTAAAAGGCCAAGGCCAGTGGGTCACTGTGCACTGAATAGACACAGCCTTAAGGGTTTTGCTGTCCTGTGTGGCAGATCTGTCAGCTGGAGCAAGGCTGAGAATGGAAAATGCCCAGGAAGCCCGTCTACTACACTTTAAACTTGACCTCAACATCAGTTAGTGACCAGGGAACACACCGGCTCATTTTTTATGCCTTAACATCTGCCATCGCAATAATTTCGACATCACAAAGTGCAAAGGTGCAGTTGGTCTTGAAAAATACATGTAGCAAAAAGTAAGGCACCTTAAAAATAGATCTTAATAAGGAGCTAAGGGAAGTTATCTGAAACAATTCAGTCTATTTGAAAAGATAAAAAATAAATTGCATTCCACCTTAGTATTCAAAGCTTAACTGTGATTGTCACCTATTAATCCATGTTTTGCTATGCTTGAGGATGCCACCACTTTCAGCCTAATGAAGTACGCACTTTTTCATTTCGAACCAGTGAGGCATTGCTGCCAAATGCAAATGATTCACCAAACACAAAGCGCACCCATTGTTCTGCAGAGACCTATTTAGAATGTTTCTGTGATATCGTACAATATCATTTAAACACAAGAACAGTGAACAAATTGCCAATTATGTTGCCAGTCTGAAGTGGTATTCTGTGGTAAACATATGATGCATGCTCTTGTCTTGGAGAATGTGTTTTTGTTGCATGCCAGACTTAGTTTTTTCGGGAAATTAGATTCTGAAAGATCTATACCACTAATGAGCTTAATGGGTTCTCTTTAAATACACTGAGTAGTAGATCGTCTGAAATACTTATTCTTGATCGTCTGCTACAGGGAGAAAACACCCAGCCAGGTCCTCTAAGTTAGACCCCTTTAAAACTTTCCCTGTCTTTATGAGAGAACAGTTATGGCAGCATCAGTCATCTTCAAGAGTCAAAGTGATGGCAAAGGTTCAGTGATTTGCAGGCGGCAGAGCTACGCTGAGATGGATGGTCAAAAGAACCATCCATTGTGAAGTCAATCTTCAAAACTCCAGGGATATTTTCCTGACTTAATTCACAGTCACCATTAGTGAATGAATCAAGGCAATGGGAGGATTTTCACCTCAGTAAAATTAGCCATTAGCCTTCTGATGGGTCTGCAGTCTGGAGGTCGAGGTGTATATGAATGCTCCGAGAAAAGGTTAACTGGATGAACTGTAGGAAACAAGTTTGATGAGATGGGGTCATGGGGAACTGGAAGCAGAGCCTTATTTAAGTGAGGCCATGACTCCTGGCACTAAATAGTTGTCACCTTCTACCATGACTCTTCGCATTTTAACTCTTAACACAACTGGCCCATAGCATATACATTTTAACTGACATTATACATACAAATGTAAAGCAAATGTAGGCACATTTTTACAAAAAAATGGCAAAACGAAATTTGCGTTTATGTAATTATGAGTTCATTTGTCAAGACAAGCAGCAGGTGGCACCAAAACTTGAAGACAATTATACCGTTGCAGAAGAAGAGGGCGCCACAGGATGGCGTAATAAATTGAGTGGCAATCCATACCTCATTCAGTTTTAAAACATTGTAGAAAATGGTATTGTCTCATTAATTTGAGGAACGATAAAACAGATATGTCTGGAGCAATAAAGAGACAATTTGAACCTTCTGCTAATACTGCTTTTTTTTGTACTTGTATTTGCAGGGATTATTATGATTTTTTGTTGCAGCCATCGTTAAGTGTAGGTTAAATTCATCACACATGTTGCAGTAATGCTAAACTGCTGATAATTGTGTTTCCCTCTTGCTTATCCATTTTGAGAATACATTTGCTCTTTTTTTAATAAAAGTTAATAAAATGCTCTCACCAAATGTGTTGTGCAATATGGTTTCCACATTCTTTAAAATTGCTTTCTGTAATTACTTTTAAGGCCAGCTCATTGTCTGCCACCATTACTGAGAGCGCTTTCTGCATAGCTGTGCATCCTCATGCATCGCCAGGGCAGAAGAAACATATTACTTTGGCAGCGGAGTCCCAGGCTCCAGCTGAGTGTGTTCAAACACTGTGGTATTCAACCATTCCCAGTTGTGATTATGAGTAACTGACTGCCCACATACATAGGCTGACCTGCCTTTCCCATGCTGTCAGCTGCTCTAAGTGTGGTTCATGTGCATGTCTATTTTATCTGTATACAGCTTCTAAAAACACAAGAGCACATTTAGTCCTTAAAGACAATGGATCACCAGAGTAATGTGAATTATAACCCTGATTTTGATAACTTCATTCACCAAAAGTTTGCATAATTATTATGAATAATGCTGACTATTTTTGGATGTAAGATTTCATTTTCTCCACTGTTATCACTCTACCTCTCATGTTGAAGAAAAATGTATTCTCGGATGGCTCCATGCTCCAATGACATTTAATTCAGGGGTTTATGATTTATAAAGATTTGGGGGCATTTCGGTCCTGCACAACAGCCATTGGCAGCCAATATGATGCTGTAAAGTCTTTTAATAGCAGTTGCACAGAAAATGGCACAGTACAAACCATACGCAGGCAGACACTGAGAGAGGAGAGGATAATAATAATAGCCTATCAGCTCCTATGGAAACAAACCACATGCCCAAAAAGATGCACAATAACACTCTCCATTAATCCAAAATCAATTCAAACAGCCATATTCCTCAACACAATAGACCACAGGGTCTTGGTCGAATCAAACTGTTGTAATTTCACTGCAAAAACAAAACAATAAAATGTAATTAAAAAAACGATTAAAAAAAGTTTTAATTAAATAAAACACAGAAAAGTACAGTATGACCATAAAATCCCCCAAAACTAAAACCTATACAAAGCATATAAAGGACAACAATATAAACTAATTACTAAAATACCATAGAAGGGGAGTACTAAGTGTCATAAAGTCCCATTAGCCACATTATGGATATTGATTGTCCAGTTAAGGGAACCCATTTATGCTAAACGGCTTGATAAATGGTGTCCAGACGTACAGAACATGTAAAATTGATAAAGTGCATGGACTTGTTGACCGGCCACGCCCATGAAATCAATAGATAAATGTACAAAAGTTAGAACCTGATGAACCTCTTTGTGCAAATGAGAGAAAAGATATCTCACCTGCGCAGCCATGAAGGACAGATCCATCCTGTTGCTCGGTTCAAGCCAAGGCACTCAACGAAAGATGCAAACGTGCGTAGTTGTTTCTATTATTCCCCGATTTGCCTTATTTTTTATTTTTTAACTCGGCATCCACAGTGTTCTGCAAGTTGGTGGACTTCACGTGAGCATGTCGAAGATGCAGATAAGAAAGAAGAAAAAACGAGAAAGAAGAACCGGGGGGAAATGAGGAGGATGTGTCAGAAAGAAGCTAAGCAGACGGAGAAATGAAAAGATGTAGACGCGCGCGAGACGGCATGAGCGTGAGGCGGGAGGGAGGGGGGGAGGCAGAGGGGGAGCTAGACTGTCACATGTAACGAAGGAGGTGCAAGTCTCTGTCTCTCTCTCTCTCTCTGTCTCTCTCTCTCTCACTCTCTCTCTCTCGCTCTCTCTCTCTGTCTCTCTCTCTCTCACACTCTCTCTCGCTCTCTCTCTCTCTTTCTTCATTTGTCTATGTATTAGATTTTCATTCAGTCTTTTATGCAAACAAATGTGTCTACAATATTGTCATTGAAATCTCCACTCATTGAAACGTGTATGTGCCTTCAAACACACATGTCCATTTGTCCAACTATTGTTTTCTTTCGACTTAGGCCTTTTTTGTTCATATTTTTTTGCTCTCTTGTTTAATTTCTATTCAAATCTCAGAGCATTTGTTTATATTTATGTATTTAGGAAAATCTATACCTGTTTTGTATGACACAACATAGTTAAGAATATATATATAGGATATAAAGTAACACCAGTATGTATAACTCATTAGAACGATTTAATTTTGGTTCACATCATCCTTATTGAGTATGAGTCAATTTCTTATGTCGTTCCCGGCTTCCATCATAAGATCATCAAGATGGTTAGAACTGTTTGAGCAAAGCCCCTTACTCCCTGTTATAGCCATTTATTATTTATTTTAAAGATTTTATTTATCTATCTGCGGCTTCGTATTATTTTGTAAGAATCGAACAACAATATAGGCACATCTGGTTTACTGGATATTCTGTTGGTAGAAAGGCAGATACAGTATAGGGCCAGCATGTACCTGGAAAGCTCAAAGGAGCCAAAGTTTGTTTTGTTGGTTTTTTGCTTGCCAATAATAAAACACAGAAGGTATGTACTGTATGGACAATACACCTCTTCCTCCTGTTTATAATACAATGCTTTTTGTGCATTATGGTATTTTGATATCAGCTTTCTGTATTTGTATAGGATGAACTGACATTGAATGCAGGAGGGCTTATCACCCAAAATCTATTTCTGACTTCAACAAATGTAGTGTAAAATGCAGAAAAAAATTGATTTCATCTCTCAAGTCAACCAGGAACTCAACAGGTGTGTTTTGTAAAGGGAAATTGAATCTCAAGATTGTGCACTTGAGTTTTTCTGCTCCAGAGTCCCTGGCCCCGGGCTTGAAAACCTGTGATCTAAAATGAATGACACATTCTTGAATTAACTAGGCCTGCAGAATAAAGGATGCTGCTATTATTCATTGGAGAGCCTCTTCAAAAAGCCAATTAACAAGCTCTACTTACAGTATGACGAGTGATTCATTTAGTGGTGACCCGGCTTTCGCTGTGAATACTAAAATATATTCTTTGGCTATAGAAAGCAATTTCAAAGTGCCGGTCAGACAGCTTGTACTTGCAATTTCTTTGGGTCAAGTAACACAGACATATTTCAGACCATTTTTTCCCTTCTGAAATTGTGATTCCCAAATATAAACACAAAGTTTATCCCTTCAGAAAGTAATAAACGTAATGTTATTAAACTTTTAAAGGATAAACAAAATGTGATTTGGCAGCCACTTAGCTGATGTCCTTGGAGTAAGGGGGAGACATACAGTCCCGGTTTATGTTAGCATCCTTAGCTTGATGTGCTTTTGACAACTCTCTATGACCTCTGACATTGAGGGGGCGAAGCAGATTTCCTGGATCAGCAGTTAAGACTTCTGCCGTTTTCTTTTTCGCTGAGCATGCAGTTCAACCCTCGAGTGATGGGGATTTCATTTAACTTCACAGCTTCTTTTTCAGCTTCTCAGAACACATTTTTCTGTTTCTACATGATCTTCTGTATTAGCTTGACGTCTCATTTAGAACAAACCTAAGTTATATTACAATATTTAATTTGTCATGAATCATTACATGTTATGATCCCTCATTAGGGATGATATTTTTAGCTTTCTTTTGCCATTTTCTAAATGTAAACACAATATGTAAATGTATTACTGGGTTATTACTGAAATTCCCAGGAGTGACCCTTCCACAGTTAACACGCTTACTTTTAAGCACTACATTTGCATACATTAGCACTTAAGTTCAATGTTTTTCAACCAGGATCTTATTAAAATGTTGTTTGCCACCATTTAAAATCATCCAAAGCTCGGCCTCGATAAACTTACTGCTGTGTTGCATCTTCTCACAGAGATTAAACACAGTCCAATAGGGAATTGTTGAGGCCTTCAAAGAAAAGGATGAATCTCTGTTTCACAAACAGGAAGCTTAAAATATCAACACTCATGTTTATTGTTCTACTAGTTAAAAGAGGGGTTTTATCAGGTTTTTTTAATTGTATTTATATCTGCCCCGAAAGCAGCAAGTTGTCTAAAATTCATGTTATATAAACCTCATTGAAAGCAAAGTTTGTGTTCCTTTTACTGAAAGGCCAAATCGCATATGCACTCCTTTTGTATTGCTGTTAAAGGGGTCAACAATTTCACCATTGGGCTGTGTTTAGGAAGCTGTGGTAGAGGCAAACTTTAAGGTTTCAGGTGACAAGGAATTCAATTGTTGAATTCTTCAGTAAGGTTTTTTTCACTCTGAGTTCTGTCAGATGTCTTACCGCCTGACGCTGAAACACTTTGCCTTGAATCACTCAGTGATCCAATAAGCCAAACAGCACATATCCTCATTCCCCACTGATGCTGCGATTAATAGCAAAACTATCTTGGGATTGAGTTGTTGGACTGAGCAAATTGCACATGATCACATGTATAAAGAAGCATCTTTCCAGCCTGATTAGCATTTAATTTGAAAAACATTTAATTTTATGACAGAAATGTAGAACCATGATTATGAAAAAGATGATAAAAGTCTTGATTCAATTAGGCTTATGAATCACCTGAAGTTATAGGTTTTACCAACACCCAATTAGCAAAGATTTTAGGGGTATTAAAATGAAGTTAAACCTGTTACTTTATTTATGAATCACATAAAAGTGCCTGTCTCTACACTGTCAAAAAGAGGTAAAAATCTCAAAAAATCTCTGAAACAAATAAATATTATTAAGATTGTATTTATTGGATAGGTTTTGTTAAACAATGACCTTTACTCCATGTTATTTTTTAAACCTTGCTCAACAAGTCATACATTTTTCAACCCTGTATGCCAACCACTTTCTTAAAAGTTTAGACTGGTTATTAAATTGAATAATCATCCCTACAAGTAACAATGTCAAACAGTAAAAATTGTGCATTTGCTTGAAGCAGGAATGTTGATCAGGTTTGTCTCACCTGTTGATATTGACAGTGGTCTAACTTCATCCCAGCAAAAACGAATTAGTAATATATTACACTGGAGTATATATTACTGTTCTTTGAATGCAAGACTATTGCAGCTGAAGCTTTCAGTTTAGTATGATGGGTATCTGTGTGGTTGTCTGTAACAAACCTCATCTGTTCTGCATCTATTTTCATTTTGTGATGGTCATGCATGCCACTGGGCATTCACTGGCCTCGATTCACAGCAGTATAATCACGGTAAAAATAGATTATTAACAAGCATCAAACTGGGTCTTGTCATGTTACAATATTCCAGGTTGACGTAATGAGTTGGAATAATGTCATGCCACCTACTATGCTGGCCTGCTCAAAATGTATGAATGCCTGTAGTGTGACTGATGTGGTCTGTCACCTAAGCCTACATCAGCGTGTTTGTGTTTGTGAGATTTTATTTATTTATGTATACCCTGGTTGGCTGGCTTACTTGTGGGTTCATGCTGTTTGATTAATCCTAAATATCCTGAATCTTTTGTTGTCATTTTGTCTGTGACAGCTGTGTGTCAGAACCTATGAATAGCATTACTGCAGCTGAATATCTAGGCGTAATCAATCAGAAGACATTGTATCAAGCATCAAATAGAGGGATTTTGAGCCAAACGCACAAGGGAAAAATATATATTGAAGCCCTACATTCCTTCTCCCCACGCACACACCGGGTTATTATTCGTCAAGAAGATGTGGGTAAATTCATGCTGCTCCTCCCACACTTCTACTCACAAACTCATCATGCGACACACACACACTTTTCATGTGCTGTATAAGCTCTTTTCTTGGCTTCGTGCACTCACCGTACAGTATGTCTTAGTTTGCTTCTCCTCAACTGATGCATAGCCAACAAGGCAGGAGTTTCATAATTAATGTTCAGCTGAATACTGTATATCAAAATTCATCATGTGTGTTTTTGACCATAGGATGCAGTTTTAACATAGCTTTACACACCATGTTTCTTTCTACATTTCTCTCATGAGGCGCCTGTGAGTTTTTTTCAACGCATTCAGTCAAGTGTCCTTTCAGAAACTGATAGCTTTTTTTTCTTTCTTGTACCTCAAGTGACCAGAGTCATCATTCATCAAAGTGTTTACTCTTGGCCAAGACTGTTTAATTGTAATCAACCAAGAAAGACACAAATGGAAAAGCCTCCCTCTGCATCTTCACACCACACCTGTTCTGGCTAAATTACTGCATCTAACCATATCATGGTCCAAGATTGCAAAAACCTCTCAGGCTTTGTTTGTCTGACAGAGGCGGTTATAGACCAGCCAGATGTGTTAAAGCACATTTCTCAACGCCCACAGGTTGAAGAGAAGCGTGTAGTTGTGTTTGCATCATGCCCTCTCACATAAATACTTTAGGAATATGCTCTGGCTTATGGCCATATACAGCATAGATGCATATTTTGCTAGAGAATATTACCGAAAGCTACTATACGCTTGCATGTGTAGAATGTATGTATAGCTTATTTTGAAGTATCTAGATCACATATATTTTTGTATATAGAAAAAGAATCCTCTTGACATCCATGTGTTGCTTTGGGCCTTTTTTCTGCTGTTCTCTGTGGTAGTATCAAAGACAGGGATATAAGCTCTTGACTAAAACATCTTTAAAATATGCACATGGTGGCTTTAAACCTGAGGGATTTGTTTGTCATCCCTCCAAGATCC